TGTCCTGCTTCAAGTGAGTTCCTTTGTGAAGGACATAAAGAATGAGTGGGGGCCGCTGATACGACCTCAACGCCCTATTAACCTTTCACCAGCGCAAACCCACGCGCCGGTAACAGTTAGGGCTCTCCCGACTCCTGAACAGTAGGTGGGCTGGACTGTTAAAAGACAGGGCACATTGTGTGCAGTCAGGTTGGAAGGGGTCTGCTGATAGAAGACCAGACGGCAGCCAGGACTACCAATACTGGGTTTTTTCCCAAAGATCTGTTGTTTTATTTGACGCCTTGGGTTCTGTTAAATAAATCCTTATATAAAAGCGGGTAAATGTTTCGTTTTGTAACTATAACATTTGTACTTTTTATAATTCTAGGGTCTTATTTCCGTTTTTTTTAGCTTATGTATAGCTGGGTTTTTGGTCAGCTTTGCTTGGGTTTTAATAAAAATCGATTGGCAGCCCTGATGGCAGCTTTTCGGATACGCTTCAGGTGTAAATACTGTCTGTATGGGAGCCGCGGTGGCGCAGGGGAATAGCTTATTTACAGCCGGCCCTAAGGTCTTAGGTTCGAACTAGCATCGGAACGGATTTTTTTTTTTTTTTTCAATAACTGACTTGGACCCACCAGATCCTACCAACATAGAATGGGTACCAATACTGCCCCGTGATGTAAAGGAGTTCGGCAGAATAGCGACCCATATATCAAATGCTGCTCGGTCTATAACAAAGCTATTCAACCAAGTTTACTCAGGGGCCATAATTTTGCAAATGGGGATCGGCCCGGGCCACAGAGCTGGCACAGAAACATTTATCAATACAAATGGCAATGGAGCCATTTTGGTAAGCCTACGGGAGCCAGGCATGACCCGCGGGCCGCTAGATAAACAGCCCTGGTCTATAACATGCGGCTAAATCACATATCTCCTACAACAACTGGCAGAAACCCCCCCCCCCCCCCCCCCCTTTTTCCCCCCTACTTACTGCCCGTGGCTGTCTGCGGCTTAGAGGTTTCGAGCGTAGTTTCAATGTCCACCATCCTAGGTCCGATCTGATTCTGATTCAGCAGCTGGAAACTCGGCAGCAGACCGATTTGTTTTGGTTCCGATAACAGACTAAGCACTGACCATCCGAAACAGTGACAAACTACTGAACATAAAACTGTCTGATAAAAAACCACTAACAGTAAACAAAACGCTGGGGTTATGTAAAGGATAGAAACCAACCTCTTAAAAACTGCAAGAATCTATTTGATACCACCCTCCCCATGTGGGTTTCAGTGTCCCATTAAGGGGAGATCAAGAACAGACCCACTGCCTCCCCAGAAAGCACGTCGTAAGAGTCCTAAGTCAATCTTCCCTTGTTAAACATAGCATGATACATAAATATTTCATTTCTGTCATGACTATGTTTCTGTCTTTAAAAGACAATGTCCATGTTTGACACTGACAGCATACAGTTGGTAAGAATATTGTGTTAACAATTATATTCTGTGCAGTCCCTTCGATATCATGAATGTGGTCGAATCCAGTCTGGGAACTTTTATCTCTCTCATCAACATTCATTTAGCGTTTCTGTTGGACGTACTTGCTTGCTCAATCCCTTTATTTCACATTTCAGTGCCTGTCTAGTGATTCTCTGCTCATTTCTTCTCAGGATGTGTCCAATATAACGCAGTCTTCTTTCATCTTATGAGCGTTGTCAACAGTGGGTTGCTTAGACATGTTTCTCTTATCTTTCTTTATTAAAGCAATAATAACTGGCTATAAGTAAGGTGAAAGAGCCTTTTAGGCCAGCCTTTGATGGCTGATGCTCTCAACACTACACCCAGATAACTGCCCATAGGGTGGCAGTAATGTTCATAAGGGACTGGGTGAGCAGGGAACAGAGACGGGATAACAAATAAACAAATGCGGCCAAACTGGGGATACAGAAACAGCAATCACCAGGGGGTCCTTGTAGCTATTGAAAACATGAGAAATACATTGACAGGTATTGATCGGGTGCTCCCTGAAAACATGGCAAAGTAGCATCAATCCTCTATTTTTTTTCCTTTTCTGTGGATGGCAATTACCATGTGAATTTAATTATAATCTATCATCAGAATGTGTCCTTATGTGGACTCCAGGGGTCCCATTTGTGAAGAGAATGGGAAAGTAGACCCACTGCTCTTTAGCAAGCAAGTAAACTATATTCTCTTCATGCCGTGCTGACACAGAATGCATTCACACAAGATGTCCACTACTGCCGGTCTGCTGTTTTTCACTTTCCGATGTCAGCTGACACTTCTTAATTTCCCTCTACTGTCCTTCATGTTTCCTCAGGCCATCCACATGTTTACTTCTAGCTGTCATGCACCAGAGAGCTGTCTTTGCCAAAGTATCATAAGGCTTTCTGCAAACAGGTCAAAACCATCTCAATTTTCTACCTTTTATAATATTTGCCAGTAATGATTTAAAAAAAAATATTTTTTTTTAAATAGTTCATTTGTGATCTTGATTAGCAATACATTGGCAGTTGGCTAGATGATAGATTATCTTCACTGCACATCGAACGATTCAGTCCATCAGTGCTTGGATCCCCTCCACGTGTAGCGGTTGATGACACCAGTCTTGTGTTGGTTTCTTACTCTTCTTTAGCTTCCTGCATTGTGCTCTTGTCTGGCCTCTTCCCTATTAACATACTGTTCTCGCATTCTAGTCGTGGCTGCAGATTCAGTCATTTGTGAATTCATTCATTCATTATTTTGTTTGCCATTAAATGTCACAAAGGGCTTGCAGTATATTCCTCCCTTCCGTTCTATCCTGTGTGATCAGTTCAATATCATGGATGGAATCCAGTCCATCAGCTTTCACCACTCTCATCAACGTTGATCTTAGGGTTTCTTTTGGGCGTCCTCGCTTCCTTAATCCTGTTATTTCCCAATGTAATCCCTCTTTGGTGATTCTCTGCTGGTTATTCTCAGGATGTGTCCCAATGAAGCGCCATCATCTCTGTCTTATACCTGTTGATACTAGTGGCTGCCCAAACATTTTCCTTATTTCTTCACTCCTTTTGAATACACCTGCAGTATTCTCCGTTTTCACTTGAAGGCCATCTACAGTTTAAGGTTGTTACCAGGGTTTAGTGAAATTGAATGTACTGAGCAAAAAGGTGGAGATAGGTGGCCTAGATGTAAATCGCAAGGCAAAATGCCAACAGCCCTTATAAGACAGTGTCAAACTGAATAATTCCAAAGTACCCCTTCTGGTGAAAATAAAGGACAGACCTACTTCCCCAAAAAGGATGACATTAAAAGTGACTAATTAGAAATCTGTTAAAATCATATATGAATTCGATATTGCAGCCTTGATGTAAACCACAACACATAATGCCAATCACCACTTTAAGGGTGAATGCAGAAGGAGAAATACTGAACCACAACAGAATGAAGACAAGCCTATTCTGTAACATAATCATAGTTCACCTGGTTAGCGGTATAAGAATAATTCATTCAGTCCCAAACAAACCACCACGTTTTTGGCCTCAGAACCTTTACAGCTTAGGACCCTTGGACCCCCGCCCCCCCTCCAGCCCGCGCAAGGAAAATGTGAAAGGTGGCTACGGTTTCCCCGGTTTCCTCATTTAAAATGTGGGTATGCTTAGAGCACATTGTAGCTAAGATGCTGCTGATAGTGTCTATTATTAACGATATCTGCTAAAATGATGTGTGAATGGGAAAATGTTTGCAAAGAAGTGAGGCCAGAATGTAAGACAGGCCTGTGTGCCTAATATTAACCCTTCGTCTTTTGTTGTTCAACTGATACCAGGTTGTAGCCCAGTGCCGCAGTTTTCTGTATTTGTCTTGTGCTTCTCAGATGGCTTGGGTGGTGGATTTGTTCATCTTTTTTGCACCATTTATTCATCTCTTTCTTGGTCTTCCTCTCACTTTCCTCCAAGATGTTCTGTTGTAAAAAGGCTTATATGCCGTTTAGTCTGGCTGTATTCTCACTAGATGGCTGAACCAATTCATTCTTTGTTTGTCAATACAATCCAGACATGGTCTTATTCTGACTTTCTCTCTAATGCTGGTATTTGTAACCCTGTCTGTTCTTGTATTGTTAGTGACCTTGCAAAGACGGCGCATTTCACCTGTAGTTATTTTCTGTTCTAGTGTCCTATTTATCGTCCAGTTTGGCACTGATAACATAAAGAATGGATAAAGATGCTTTTAATCATTTTCTGTTTTGCTGGAAGGGAGACATTTTTTCTGTCCAAGCAGTGGGGCTAACTGGTAGGTGACAGCATTTGCCTTCTGTACTCTGGCTTCTACCTCTCTATCAAGTCTGCCATCCTCTGTAAATATGCTTCTTAAATATTTGAATTCTCGTACTTGTTTGATTGTACTACCGTTAACATGAACGTTCATGATATTATGTTTCTTCTCAATCCTCATTACCTCAGTTTTCGCAATGTGTATTCTCATGTCATACTTTGTACATGTTTGATGTAAGGAGACAATATGGTGTAAATTATGTTTTTGGTGGTGTATTAGACACTGGTCATCTGCAAAAAGAAGTTAATGTCTTCTGTGTCTGTATTTGCCTCCTTTGTAATTCTATCCAAGTAATGAATAGCAACAGAGGTCACATCCCTGTCTGGCACCTGATGAGATGGGCAACCAATCTGTCATTTTTTTTCTGGTGTTCTTATTGTGCACTGACTATCTTGATAAACAGCCATGATGTCACCCAACAGGTGATCTTGAATACCATAATCTTCTAGAACTGTTCTAGTTCGCATCTACTGACTTGATCAAATGTCTTCTCATGATCTATAAATGTAAACTATAATGCTGCCAAATGTATACTTTAAAGCAGTTAAATATATACTGTTATGTTGCTAAATGTATACTGTAATGACTGCTTAATGTAAAATATAACAGTTGGCTCTGTGGCATTTTAATCAGGGAGACATTGACAGACTGTGAAATATGCTAAGTTCTGTTGAAAACATAATTATCAAAACTCACTCTTCATCTTTGTAAAAATCCGAGAATAATCCAACTCTCTGGAAACGCTTACGAGGAGGCTGGCCCATGGAAACATCCGATGTAGAGGATGGCAGCTGAGCCTTATGGTTATGATTATCTACACGACTGTATGAGCTGTCATCATCACTGAAAGGAGGAAAAATTAACAAGCTTTGTTAAATGTTGGTGCAGTAAACTCTAGAGAAAACAAAATTCAATTGTCCCAACTAAGAACAGGCCACTGCAGGCTACAGTGTGCACAATCACCTGAGCATAATCTGCAGGCCTGCCGACTAAACTTACATCTCACAAGAGAAACCTGGCTTCAAGAGCAAAGTGTATACTATAGAGCAAGCTATGGGGACCATAAAGGGCCTCCAACAGATATACAAGTTTTTAGAGGCAGTCCATCTGACCTGAGCACATAAAACCGAATTCGAATACGCAGAAGAAGAAGAAGAAGAAGAAGAAGAACACAGGAAATGGGAGTGTTTCAAATTTTGTTTTCGGTAGTGAAGAGCATCAGGTATATGGTCTAGATCCATATATATAGACCAATTGGCACTCACCAGGATATGGGGTCAACATCACACTGGCTACCTTCACTTCCCACAATATTTCTTGGAACCCATTTTAGACTGGGTAAACCTGGGAGCCTTAGGAATATAAATATCTACCTTTATGTGGATTTAAACCCAAGACATGTATGACAACAGTGATGTGCCTAATCACAAAAAGCCAGTTTCAAAATTGCTTGACCAAAGAACAAACAGGCCTGTGATTTCGCTTTCAATAAACCCAACTTTAGAATGCACTTTTGTGTGTGTATGGGGGGGGTAGCACGCAAGTCTAATATTAGTTCAAAGTTGAAGCTGAGAGATGCACCGGGTTTTATCCCATATGGCTTGGTCTCTTGCTGCAGAATGGCTAGCGACTGCAGACTGCATCCCACAAACTCTAAAGCCATGGCGACTATCCTCAGTGATCTCCCTCAAAATTATTGGCATAGCCATGAAACAAACCTGCGACCTGAGGCTAATGGCTTAAACACTTCGGTACGGAGACCCCCTCTAATATTACTAATAAAATTTGTAGTAGAACTATTATAAAGTACAAGGTCTATGGCAGACCTCTGAATATAAGATATTTGTGTGCCTTGGTTGTTCCTTGCCGCACAGGTAGATGCACTCTGACTTCGAAGGAAGTCCCCAATTAGAAGTCTCCTACTACATGCTTGTTGGAGAGGCAGTGGATCCATTCTTGTTTTCCCCACCATAGGGCTCCGAAACCCACCCCGGAAAATTAAAAAACAGGTTACTGAGCATAAGGTAGACCATGCAGCAGATGAATCAACATCATTAACAATGCATAAAAACAGCACAAGCCCACATAACCAACACAGCACATCTGGCACCAAACCCTAAACTGTGGATTTCCTAAACAAAAACCTGAACTAGAAAAGGCATCAAAACAGTTCTTCTATTGGTTAAATAATGGATAGACAAGACTAGACAATATGACAAACAATGTTTCCTCTTCAGGGAAAATAAGAGATGGAACATATTCATTTAATCAATCAGAGATGGTTTCTGCAATTAAGGTTGGTTGCAATGGCCCTCCCACACTCTCTAAGCCTCTCATCCTTGTTTTACACTCTCTGGAAATGCTGGTTATCTCCATCTCCTGATGCTGTACTCGCCATATGTTTTCTTATCTACCTTTTTTTTTATCTTGCCATCAACTTTATAAGTTATGTTATTATGTCTTTTAATAGGGTCAAATCATTTCAGTTGGGAACATATTGCAACAATGTTAGGTCAGTGGTCTCCAACCTGGGTGAGGAAGTTCTGGGGAAGGGGTGGGGGGGGGGGGGGGCATCTAGCACATTTTGAAAACTAATTCATTTGTTCTTAATAATCCCCCTATATTAACAGTTTAAAAATAAAATTATCATAAATAATATTTTAAAACTGCATAACAAATAGCCAAGGCCAATTCTGCTCTCATGAGCAGTGTGTAAATCTAACGTTAAAAGTCTTAATTTAATACAACACCTTCATCTAATTATAGATTAGGAATACATTTCTCCTCTCTCTGATACCATTTTTATTTTATTTTTGGGCGGTGCGTCAGGGTCTTGCAATACACATAAGGGGGGTGTCTGGCTATATACTGGGGGGAGGGTCCTTGTCATATACTCAAGAGGGCACGAGGTCCTGACATATACTCAAGGAAGGTGGGTTTGCCATATACTCAAGAGGGCGCGGAGGACCTGCCATATACTCAAGGGAAGAGGGGTCTTGCCATATACTCAAGAGTGGGGTGGGATGTAGGGACTTGCCATATATTTGGGGGGTGGGGTGGGGGGGCTGTCTTGCCATATACTCAAGAGGGCACGGGGTCCTGCCATAAACTCAAGGAAAAAGGGGGTGGGGGGTCTTGCTTTATACTCAAGGGGGGGGTGAAGGACCTGCCATATACTCAAGTAAAAAAAGTGGGTGGGGGGGTCCTTGCCATATACTCAAGGGAGGGATGGGGGGGGGGGGGGTCCTTGCCATATACTCAAGGGTGCGTGGGGGTCTTGCCATTACCTTAAGGGTGCTTGGGAGTCTTGACATATACTCCAGAGGTTTTGGCCATATACTCAAGGGGGACACAACATGAAAAAGGTCAAAGACCAATGGTTTAGATGAATGTTTAAAAAAAAAAAAGCAATGAGGAAAGATTTTCTAGAAAATCATGCGAAAGATTTTTTTTTAAAAATAAAACCTTACCTCTCACAGGCTGTAGCTGCCTGAATCTCCTCCACCAACTTGCGCTTACTACAATGTTCTAGTGGCAATGGTTCAAATTCAGGGTGAGATGACTGAATCACAGATTTGCTTGAACTTTGTGGTGAGGTGCTGCGTTTATTGCACAACTTTCTGGCAGAACTCAAAGAAGCTGACTTTGTTGAAGGCTGTCTCAAACTTCTTTGAGGTGAAGTATCTGAACATATCTTTTTTGATAATGTGGTGCTGACCGGTGATTCTAGAACTATGGGGCTTTCTCTATACGAGGACTGTCTTCTGGGGGACATGCATCTTTTAAAAGGAGTAATTTCCGGTGGATCGGAGCAACTGCTGCTACTATGATATGTGTTTGGTGATAAAGATGTGTTCTTCTGTAATCTGGGAGGTGATGAATCTGAATCATGAACAGATAAACTAGGTGATTTTTTTAGTTTCTGAACACTTCTAACCTGCATCCTATCCAACTGTAATGTCTCCTTCCCTATAGGACTGGGTTCAGAACTGCTGACAGGTCGTTCCGAACAGTGGCTGGACTCCGAAGCCTGGACAGATAGTGATCTAAGGGTTGTGCGACCTGGATGAAGTATGCCCGGAGATGCTGACTGCTCCAGAAGACGACACTCAGCACACGATAATCGATCCGTTAAACAATGTGAACTGGAGTGGAGAGGACATGCCAGTGGAAAGGTGCTTTTTAAACATTGCCTGTTTCTGAAAGTTGCCGACCCTGTGGGCGAAGGTGAGGATAAGGAGGGCATGGTTGAGCTCCGGGTGGACAGCCTGCTAGGGCAAGGTGACAACGATGGGGTACACACACTAGATCCACCCACAGAAAAGCTACTTGTGTCTATGGTGAGAGCTTGATCAACAAACAGCTGTCCCAGTCGTCCTTGCATGAATTTTTCATCTAGAAAAAAAACACAAGTAATAATTCAATACTTGTAAATAAATTACCAAAAGTTATAATAAACAATATGTTAAGTCTTTATGTATGAATAAATACTTGTACATGTGCATATTATGGTTTCATAACTAAGTGAAGGGAAAATGCCAAATCCAACTCTGCGCGGTAGAGTATGGGAACACACCACAGTGTGGTAAACACAGCTCTGTGGATCGAGTATCCACCGGTGGACATAAGTGGACAACTCTGCAGCTGAGCAGAGTAGGGCACTCACTTGTCCTGACAACTGGAAATTACTGTCAAAGTTAGAAGATTTAGGGCCCCACTGCCAGTGCAGTCACCACGAACTGTGCAGAGTAGGACATTCGTTATTGTTGCTGCCCCTGACATGCGTCAAAAAATAACCTATAACCTTATTGAGGATTCGAACCAGGGTGTCCCACATGACAGCCCAGCATTATTACCCATTTGGCTAGTCCCCTTCTCACAATATTAGTCACTCTAACATATATTCTTTTTACACATACATGATAAATCTATCCAAACAATTATAGAGGTTTAAATTATTATTCTCTCCTTGTAAAAATTGCCTGACCACAAGCACACCTAAAAAATAATATCGAACTGTTTTATTCATATTCAATCATAATCCTGGTGTTGCATTTATGTTACACAGAGTTTGCAGACTAATCTTCCATTCCATCCATTCCAGCGGTTCTCAACCTGTGGGTCGCGACCCTTTTGTGGGTCAAATAACCCTTTCACCTAAGACCATCAGAAAACACATAATGTTTGAAGTTATGAAGTAGCAAAAAAAATAATTGTTTGGTTAGGGTTTGCCACTACATGAGGAACTGTATTAAAGGCGTTAATCTGGGAAATATGTGGCTTTTCTGCCTACCCCCAAGCGTAATCTCAGGCCACAAGGAGTTTGTCACCCGGTAGCCATGCAGCCGGCTTAACCAACTAAGCTAGCATAATAAGCTAACCCTTAAAACAATGTCTGGTATGCTGTGCTGTAGTTTACAGCTTGGCTGTGGTGTTTGTGCCTTTTGGCCCAAAACGCTCAATTCCAGCAGACGCCTAACTATTTAAAATGTGTAACTTCTGACATTCAGTTGCAGTAAGAAACTGTTTAATACTAAGTCTTCAAATAAGAGTAAAAATGTGTTCACTGACCTTTGTTTTCTTCAAGTCCAGACAGTTTCCTTGGTCGTCTCCCTCTTCGCTTCCATGCTAAAGACTTGAGATCTCTATTCAAGAAAGCAGTTTCCTCTGCTGAACCAAGCACTGAAGAATGCATTAACGATACTTCCATATTCACTAGCCTATGGCGTTTCTTTGGCGGAAGGCACTGGTCACTCGAATCGCTCAAAGAAGAAAACTCTCGCTGATCAATGGGCTGGTCAGAGCTGCTTTTCTTACGCCCCCCTTTAATTATTGGCTTGAAGCCTGTTGCTGGTATTTCATATGGAGAAGGGGTGTCTTTCCTAGGTTTTGGCTGTTTTGACTTGTCTAATGTGTAGGTTTCAGAAATAAAAATCCGATCTTTTACCTTTTTGTTCACATCTATTTTAATGACTCTAAATATTGAAGGCAAGGGCACTTCTCCTGGCCGAACCCGGATGAAATTATCAGCTGGATTCTCACACACGGACATAGAATTTAACCCTGTCACCAGGGTGTCTAAATCTGCAGCAAACACTGGATCTATTATATTCCTGTGCTTTGACTTCCTATATAAGAGACGATGTCGTTTCTTGCCTCGTCTATCGGAACAATCCAACTGATCCATATCAATTGGTGAGCCCGATCTGTGCGGACCATCCACACCTGTGCCAGAGCGGAACACGTTCAGACGACTTGAAGCAAGGATTTTTGATGGCTGAACAAGTGAGTTGAAAAATGATAACCGCTTATCAGAAACTGAACATGTAAATAATTCTGTTTGTCCCTGCGGTAAAACTGTAAACTTCTTCTGCAGGACCACTGTGTCGAAAACGTTGAGTGTTCTGTTTGTTAAAGCTGCATTTGTTGCCACTGGTTTGTTGTTTGGGAGCTTTTTCCTTTTCTTTCTCTTTGTTCTTCTCATCATAACATGTAATTTGGGCTTTTTGGATTTAGGTTTCACCAAACCTGGAGGACCTGGCCTCATTATTTTTGGGAACGATGTTGGATGAACAACTCTGAATGGATTTTCAAAAGAGAGTATATCACCATTTGTATCCTCATTAGCAAACTGGCTGTTAATAGAAGACTTGACACTTTTCAACAGAGCATCGAGATCATTATCTTGAAAAACAGATTTTTCAACGTGAACAGGAGATTTAACTTTGTTTGATGGCAAATCTGCTTTAATTTTCCTGGAACAAAGTGTTTTACTGAGCTGTTGTTGTTCTGAAGTAAATGATCCGCACCACAAGTTATTGTCAGAAGGAAAGTCAGTCAGCTTCAAAGATTCATGAGTATCATCTAATAATTCCTGGTTTTTGTTTCTTCTCTGGATGGACACTCTTCTCCTGATAACCTTCCTTTCTGCTGCCTTACTCCCTACAGGCTCCGTACTGGGAGATAGTCCTGGGTAGCAATCTGAACTTAAAGTTACATTGCCTTGGGCTCCTTTGTCTGGTGAACAGAGTGTCTCATTATTTGAGAAATTACCTTCTGGCAGAGGAATCTTCCGGGGCCTGCCACGAGGGCGCTTCAGTTTACTTTCCAATTTTTTGCTGTGACCAACAGCAGGCGCAGCACCATTTACAGATGCAAACCTGTTAAGTTTATGGGGATTGTTTCTAAATGTGCGTTTAAAAACAACATCAACGACCTTGTTTTTCGACAGTGAACCTTTAGGTCTTCCAGGAGTTCTTGTTTTCACAAGAGAACTATCACAGTTAACATTTGTTCTTTGATCGCCTGTCTTCCCTCTAACCGACGCTGGGGGACTTAAACATGTTTGCTCAACATGACAGAAGTCTTTGTTATCAATAATGCTGCCTTTACTATTCTCACAGTCTGTGTTTGTGACTTTTCTTTCTGAAACACTCTCGCTTCCATACACACTAGTATACAGAGTGCTCCTTTTATGTTTGAACAACAGGCTGTTCTTTTTCTTTGGGGGTCGCCCTCTTTTCTTACGGCCCATAGCTTGACTAATTTTATGAGGTGAAGAAAGGATGATGCCATTACCATTTGTGGAGAGTGGAGACTGAGATGCTACCTCCAAATGTATGTTGACACTATCATTATTGCCTGGAGCTCTTGCACATTTGCTTTTAAGGGAATGACAAATTCCAGCAGCTGCCTGCCCTAATGATACTGTTGCTTTACCAACACTCAGTGTAGAAGATGTATGATCTCCAGCTACCACTGACCGGCTTCCTTTACCTTCATCTGGTATGTCAGAAGTGCCCCTGAGCACATCCTGGCCAGCTGTGCATTTATCAAAAGCATCTAATGCCACTTCATGAGATAGATGAAAGGATGCCACAGGTTCCATTCTGGCAATCATATGGTGATCATCAATGCTGCAAGATGTTAGCAAACCATGGTGCGGGTCAATATTCACTTCACCATTTACAAGCGAACTCGGTGAATCATTGCCATAAGGTGATTCATCTAAAGAAATAATACCACTGTCTGGTGAAACATTTGGTAAATTATCTAATCTCAGCAGCGGATCATGAACATCATTTGCAGAAGAGACAATGCTGCCAACTTGTTCAGCCCTTTTCAAAGGCTTGAGGAGTTCACTAGTCTTCAACACATCCAAGAAATCTTCTTTATAAGCTGTTATATTTTCATGTGAAACTTCAATTAGCAAAGACTTCTCCCTTCCAGTGGAGGAGGAGGATGCAGTTGCTTTCATTGCACTTGAAGGACTGGCCGGAGCAGTGAAACATGACATGTCGTCACTGTCGTTACCTGCAAGAGACAAGGTGCAAGGTGATTTGCCACTATTAGGAAAACTCTCCATGTCGGATGGCAATATCTCTGAGCAGTGGGCATCATTTGGGATGGTATAACAATCAACCTGAAACATACATGCAAATTCTTAGACTTATGGGCTGAACAGCCAGTGACACACATTCACACTGGGACATTTGAAAAGCTGTTGAATGTAGTGTTCATAAAAATCATCTGGTTGTGTCTTTATATGTCAAGCAGGGATCACAGTATATATAATCAGACACTTGCCGGCTGTGGTAGGTCTACGTATCAGTAAACTACCCAAACTTTAAAACCTGAGTATGTATATGTATGAGTGTGTATGTCTGTGTGAGTAAGAGTATGTCTATTTATGTTTGAGTGTGTATGATTGTGTATTTACGATCTGTGTGTGTATGCATGAGTGTGCATATGTATGTGTATGTTTGAGAGTATATTTATTCAACGGATCAACATCATGGCAACATGGGTGTACCCCATAAGTGCTCCCTTTTACTTTTAACTCAACCCTGAGTCTGAAGAATCTCAGTGCAGTGCATGAACTCTATTGTACTAGCGAGGATCCTGAAATACTTTGGGTAGATTTTTTAAACTTTTTGTTCGGGCAGCCCCGTTAGACTACTATTTTCGATTTCCAATTACCAAGGGATTTTTTATGTGCGCAAGAATACATACGGGCATCCGATCTTACTATCCAGAGACCACGGTAAATTACCAGAAGTCCACATGAACAAATCCCAGCCTTAACCGGGGCCTGAAACCAGGACCTCCAGTACTCGAGGAGGAAAGCATACCTCGAGACCACTCAGCCCCCATATGGTAGGAATGTATAGGTATGCATGAGTATGTCTGAGTGTGTTTGTGTAAGTGTGTATGTGGAGTGAATGTATGTATGCATTTGGGTGTAGTGTGTGTGCATGATTTTACCATCCATGCTTTTTTTTTGACATTTATATTATGAACAGTTACATGAACATAACAAGCTTTATTGATAAAATTTTACAGCGGTGTGAAAGATGAGTGTTTTGAAGGCCTGAATAAAAATAAAGCTTGTTCCTTTGGTCCTCCATTGACCACTCCGCTCTACTCTGTGCAATATTTTCAATATTATCAATGGAATTTAGGACAGTACCTTTGGTTTATTTCATCAATGTCTGTCTTAGGGCTCCACTTGGATTTCCTTAATCCATTTATTTCAAATTTCAGTGCCTGTTAGGTGACACACTGTCTGCTGCTTCCCAGAATGTAAGAAATCTTCTTCTTCTTCTTCTTGTTCACCAGCTGTAAACTCTGGCGGAAGGTTCTGGTTGCTCGTCCACTACTGAACTGCAGTCCTGCTTCAGAACCTGAGTGTTGCGTGTGCATCAGTTTTACAGATCTCATTCTCTTGAATACAGACTGTTGGTTCCTTGCCTCTCCGGCAGATGCACTCCGACTTCAAAGGAAGCTCCCCAATTAGTCGACTCTTACGACATGCTTTTGGGGAGGCAGTGGGTCTATTCTTGTTTTCGACACAATGGGGCCCCGGAACCCACACGGGGGAATGTAAGAAATATATCGCCATCTTCTATGTCTGATAACTGTTGATATAAACATTGTCTGGACAATGTCTGATAATCGTTGATATAAACACTGTCCAGACATTTCTCTTTATTTCTTTGCCTTTCTCCAACTCATCCCATTTAAAAAACTTATTTTATCAATCAAATATATCTAATTTTCTTTCAGAGTTCAAATTATAACATAACCAAGTTCAGAGGTCACCTTACTCATTTATTTAACTTACTTATGTTCTTTTTATTCTTATGTCTTCAAAACAAAGATAGACAGAATTTTCTGAAAATTATCTCCTAAGTGCAAATGACAAGGAAATATTTTGGCTACACTAAAAGACACACATACAAAAATGTCTCCACAATGAAGGTTAGCTACAGTAGACCCCCTGCTGTCTCTAGGAATATTATGTGGTGAGGCCCCAATCTCTTCCACAGTGGGACTCTCGCACCACTGTCTGAAAACCACTAGAAGAGTGGGCGTCTTTTTTTCATTTTTAACAAACTGTCCACCACTGAAATTAAACCCTAGTCCTAGTAAATGAGTATCATTAAATTGTTACTCATTCATTAACCTCTGGGAGCTGTGGTGATGTAGCAGCTAGATGCTCGCCTGCGGATCCGCAAGTCGTGGGTTCAGCTCCAGACTTTTTTCCTAAAAATGACCTTGGCTCCGAGGTCGGCCCAGTCTTGAGTGTGTACCAGGTAAAGTCCTTCGAAGTAAAGGCGACTGGCTTGATGCAGAGCACATCACCTCCCAAGTACCGATCGGTCTATAAGATATAGGTCTAGCCCCTTATGCCCAATACACCTTTGAATGCTTAAAAAAAGGGTGCCTTACTTCACTATTCACCAACCTCTTGGCCACACAGCCTCACTAATGTTATTACATTCTTTAAAAAAAAAACGCACTCGAAGGAGAAGATGAAAATAGGTTAACCAGAGGTAAACAGTGACACAATTAGATTGCAGTATGTGTGCATGCATGCCATTTATCCTCTCTGGGCTGCTACCCGAAGAGTTTGACATCCTGAGAACAGAAGATCTCAATCATGATGGCAGACCAATAGGATCTGAAGGTCTGACACTGTAAGTGTAAAGAATCTCAGTGCTGACGGCAGACAAGCAAGGCAAGTCCAGATACCAGGTTCCACCTCCAAGAAGCTATAATTATGGCACCATTAACGGCCACACCAGCCCGGTGTAACCTGCCAGCGTGTGCAGGTAAGGATAAACTAGCAGTCTGAGAGACTGTGCAATAAGGGCAAGCAACTGAGGCAGATTCCATCCACAGTAATGGGCTCCGGGTGGGTTTCTTTTTTTTTCTAGCAATTCTAACAGGTCAGCAAGCCCATGGCTCTGTAATATCCCTGGGATTTTTAGTGTACAAGACATGCAGAGAGGACCTAATTGTAACCCTTATCTGAGAAAGCGAGATAACCTGGCTCTCTGCCCAAGAAATCAGGGGAACATGCAACATAATTAGGCACTGACGGTTTGTGTGTGTGTGTGTGTGTAAAATGTTATTTAACTTTTAAATCCAAAGCACTGGCATTCAAGTCAGCTAAATGAGTCCTAAAGTGGAATTGCATGTCTGTGCACTGGTGGAGAGACTTCTGAAACAGCAATGAAGTGCCACCCTCACGAGGACTGTGCTGGAGATTTGCCCTTCCCTTATCCATACTCAGAAACTAGAAGAGCATGCAAGACCAATCCTTTACATCTGCAGAGGTATTATTAGGATGCAATCAGGTCATGATTCCACTCATCTAAGAAGCAAAGAATTCCAAAGGAGGCAATCAGGTCATGATTCCACTCATCAGAGAAGCAAAGAATTATTAGAATGCAACCAGGTCATGATTCCACTCATCACAGAGGCATATAGCAACACTGTAACCAACAACGCGTATCATAACAGGTTGCGGGATTTTATAATTATCCAGGATAGAAACAAGTCCACCACCCTACAAAGAATTCAAGCCGAGATCTCTCAAATGAGATCCAGTGGTCTTATCGAAATGGCCAGCCGCTACTCTAGAAAAAAATCAAATTCAAACATTATGTGCAGTAAATTCAATTTTGCAACACTAACATGACTACTCATACCTGTCTGTCCATTCTCATGCGCTCACTGTCCGCTGCAAACAAATCTTTACTGGTAGCCTCGTTCAAGTTGGCTCGGGGTGAGTTATCCACTTCATCATCACAGCTTCTTTTTCTAAAAGAGATCATCAACTTCAAACCATCACTGTTGATGTTAGAACATTCTGCTGTAAACTCCTCCTCACTCAGACTGTTGTTTAGTGAGTTTGTCCCAGCGTCACTTGTTTCGTAATCGGATGATGGCTCGACTACGCCATAATGACTCATGTCTTTTACCACAAAACTAATAATAAACACTGTTCACTGGCAAGGGAACGTATCTAGAGATAAAACACTGTATATTTTATTGCTGATTTCAATCTAAAGGCAATTCCATGGAAGATACTGCTTCACACACAAAAACATTAAAGGTTGTTAAATGATCTGAGGGGTGTTGAGTTTGAATCTGCACTGTGGTGGATTTTTAAATAACTGACTACGTTGTCTTCCAGGTAAACCCAGCCTTATATTCTTCTTCTTCACGTTCACTGGCTGTAAAATTCTGGCAGAAAGTTCTGGTTGTTCATCCACTACTGGACTTTGTCTTGTTCCAAAAACATGGGTGTTGTGGGCACATTCATTTTACAGAGCTAGCTTATCTGTATGCATACTGTTGGTTCCTTGCCTCTCAGGGAGATGCACTGTGATTTCAACGAAACCCCTAGTTGGTAGACTCTCATGATATTCTCGATAGGAAGAGGCAGTGGGTCTATTCTTGTTTTCCACACAACAGGACCTCGGAACACACACAAGGAAGTCTTAAATGTCCTGGGAAGTAAAGGTAGTCAGTAGGATGTTGACCACATTATCAATTAAGTGTCAGTGGGTCTATAAATAATGGGTCTAGCATAATATGCCGGAGGCAATGTGGCCAATGGTGTGACAAGGGACTTAGACTTTTTTTTTCACAACAGATTTGGGAACATCTTATTCATACAAGTGTATGCTGGGTGGTACTGACAATCATGTCTATCCAGAAGCTTCTGTCTGATGTACTTTCAATCACTTCCGACACAGATAAACTTCCATGACACAATGTCAAAATGGCCAGCATCTTCTCTCTCAGTCTTCCTCTGCCTCCAATTTTCTTATTGTCACAATGTATACCTGTTTTCTTTCTCATGACATGATAAAAGAATGTCTCCTTCTAATGATGACAATCAGTTCCCTTTAAGTCAGTTTCTTTCAAGACATCTTTATTCATCTTTTTATGTGTCCAGTGTGTTTTCACCATTCATCTATAAAACCAAATCTCAGCCGCTTCCAAATAATTTTTCACTTATCGTCAAACTGTCCATGGGAACATTTCTAGGGATAAAACACAGCATATTTTATTTTATTACTGATTCCAAACTAAATTGGAAGGTATTTCCACAGCACATCCTGGCATTTAGGTATAAAGGGTTTGGCCTTCACACATTCTAGGCCTCGATACAGGTGGGAGTAGCCAGTTCCCAAAATAATTTTTCACTTATCGTCAAACTGTCCATGGGAACATATACAGGGATAAAACACATAATATTTTATTACTGATTCCAAACTATAAGGGAAGGTATTTCAATAGCCCATCCTGGCATTTAGGTAAAAAAATGTGTCAGCCTTCACACATTCTAGGCCACAATACAAGTGAGAGTAGCCAGTTCCATTTCTCATCTTCTTTCCATTGCAGCAAAATCCAAGAAAATTAGAATAATTATCTGGTACCCATTTTTTTTAAATCCTCCCCCCCCCCCCCTTTTCTGAGGAAGTCCAATGTCTAATAATTGCACCTAAATAAAGAGAAAAAAAATGTTTAATTCAGCAGGCCAAACCCACACAACCACTCACAAAAAAAGTTTTTAAATTTTGGTTTGTGCATAGATTTTTTTAATTAGTTATTAGTTTAGCTACTTTTATCCAACTGTGTTTATGTTTCACCCAATCTGACTTAAACATTTTTAGTGTTAAGCTCGACTCCTTAGGATAGTATATAATGAGTTAAAACTACAAATGCTTGGCACTGAAAAATTTAACTATGTATCGGTTATTTTGTTGTTGTTTACATCAAAAGAAATAAAAATGTGAATAATTATCTGTTACCTAATGCTGTTTTTTTTTAAATCCTGTCACTTCTGGGGAATTCTTTTTCTCAGCATTCACCAGATGTGAATTTTTGTAAAAAGTTATGGTTGTTTGTCCACTCCTGGACTTTGATCTTGATCCAGAGCTTGAGTTGTGAGTGCACATCCATTTTACAAAAACATTTGGCTTTTTTTGTATGCAGACTGTTGATTCCTTGCTTGAGGCAGATGCACTCCAACTGTGAAGGCAACACCCCTAATTAGTCACCTCCTACAACATGCTTGTCTGGGGGGGGGGGGGGGGGGGGGGTAGTCGGTTTATTCTCTGCTCTCCAAAATTGAGCACCGGAAACTACATGGGAATTCTAGAGACAGAACCCGGACCACTTTCTCAACATGCAGGCAGACTAACTACTAGGCCAGTGCAACTCACGACTATAATCTATATGTTCATATCTGTTTTCTTAGCAAAAAAAATATGTATTCCAAGCAACTATCACAGATTTAATTTCCATTATTAAATTTAAGTTATTTAGTTTAAGTTTTTAAACTTCAAACATTTAAGTAATTTAACACATCTGTAATTTTGATTTTTAACTTTAATCAAGGGATTCTTTGTCTTGTTTACTAACAGTCCAGGACGTATAGCTATGTATTAAAATCTAAAGTTATGTATTAACAATTTTCTGATAAACATAAAATGGGATGAATTCAAGAGGGGTTAAAGAAATGAGAGAAATGCCTGGGCAATCACTAGTAGCAACAAGTTTTAAGCCAGAGAAGATGGCCCTATACTGAACACATTCTGAGAAGAGATGGAACACAATCACTAAACAGGCACTGAAATGAAAACTGAAGGATTGAGGAATTGAGGACACAACAGAGAAACCCTAAAGCGAACACTGACGAGAGAAGCCAATGATGCTGGACTGAATTCCTTCCATGATGGAACAGTTTGGAGAAATAGACTGAGACATATAATGGCACAATAGGACCATAAATTAATTTAAATCTAGGTAATATGCCAGAATTCCTTTTTTCTAACTTCAACAACAGGGACTTAATAAATAAACCCATTTAAATTGCTGCTTTTGCTTGTCTTGTACGGTTTTCATTTCTGTGATATTTCTAACACATGACGTCCATGTGTCCAGATACTAAAATTGCTGCTGTCTCTCCCCATTGTTCATTTAAGTGTAAGGTGCTCCTTTGATATTACCGGTACTGGTATACCAGAATCCAAACTGAGGCCATATTTGTTTCCAGTTTTTAAACCCAATGGGACCTATCATTTTCAGTAGGTTTCTTCTGAGTTGTTGCTATCAATACAACGTCCTTATCACATAAGTTTATTTTACAACCACCAACTTGTTTAATGCTATTTTGAAATGTTTAATTGCATTTTCTAAGCTGCATTTACCGTTTTATTTTTATGTATTCTCTGTATTAATACTGGCTTTACAGCCCCTGAATAAATTAAGCAAAAAATTTAATAAAAAATGGGCAAAACAAACCCTCTTGTTTCCTTTCAAGGCAATGAAAATTTAAAAAATATACCCCATTATTTAATAACATCTGTTTACTTTCAATGGCATGAATAAATTAGAATAATCAATATGAAGATCTCATGCTATCATCATCAATTCTCTTTATGCTTAGTGGCACATGGGGCTTCAGAGAGAACTTTCCTGTCCTGTGCAATCTTCAGTGCAGTTTTCCAAGTCAGAGATGCCACACTCAGGTCACTTTCCATCCCTCGTCTCCATGTTGTTTTTGGGTGGCTCTTTTTTCTCTTTCCCTCTGGTATCCATGAGAGAGCTGTTCTGGCAGGTATATCAGGATTCATTCTCATAATCTCATGTCACATTTCCCTAAAATACTAACACTGCAACCAAGTCCAGCATATTTTTTAATTAAATCATTAATGACAGGCAGTTAATCCTTTCACTTCCTGAAATATGACAGGCGACTTATGAGAAGAAAATTTCCAAAGCGAGTAACTACTTTTCCACATTACGATTTGTAAATACAAAACTAAAGGTCATAGCTAATGCTACCATGTCAGATGCAAGCAGATCAATGTGACCCTAAATGTATATGAATAGTGCAAGATAAATTACGTGACGCATGCTTAAAGTCACAAATGAACATCAGCACCAACTGTGACACCCATTACATTATATTCCATCATCAGTAACATACAAAGTATTGTTAGTTATGGGTGGGGTGGGGGGGGGGGGGGGGGGGGGGGGGGGGGGGGGGGGGGGGGGGGGGGGGGGGGGGGGGGGGGGGGGGGGGGGGGGGGGGGTTGTGGAAATCATAATGGAAAAATAAAGACCCAAAAAATGACTGCTGATAGGTTAGAAGCTGGGCATTTCTTTTTCTTCTTCCTTCTCTTCGCATTCATTGACTGTAGCCTCCAGTGAAAAGTCCTCGTTGTTCATTCACTTCTGGACTTTTGTTAAATACATTTCCATTTTATGGATCTGGCTTATTCTTCTGCAGAGTATTGGTTCTTTATCCCTCAGGTAGATGAAATCTGACTTCAAAGGAAACTTCAATCCTATCTTTGTTGGGCAGGCTTCCAGAAGGGAACCTGTTTCCAGGAAAACCGCAGAAAGAGGTAGATAGATCTTGATCAGTAAGATCTCATGTCCTGGTGCAGCCACCACCATGTGTGATTCAGCATTTCCACATCTGGAGCTGAGCATTTGAGGAGAAACATGTCAAAATGCAATGGCATCTGTGGTCCTGAAATCCAACACATTTACTGTGGAAGACTTCTTAAAGTGAGCTGTCTTGCTAGTCACATATACATTCATCATGAAATGTGATTCCAATACATCTTTACAGCAGAAAGTGAAATAATCCCATTGTTTTTCAACAGGCTGTTTTACCTCTACTTTGCTATAACTGCTTTTTATAGTAACATATAGCAGATTAGAAAAAACAATGGCAGAAGGCATGGTACAAGGAAGGAGGGGCAGGGGCTTACCAACACAAAGATAGGCACAAGATATAAGTGATTTCTTGGATATTAAAGTGTACGAGGCGGGAGAGCTGTAATAAAGAGTGAAGTTCTGCAAAGGGCCTGCTACATGATGATGATAGAAATATAGAAAACTTTCCTCAATTTATTTGTTTCAAGTCAAGTTAGATATTCTGTTA